TAATATCAATGCAACCCAACATACAAAAACGAAACACTAATACTACAAAACATCAAAACTTAATCTAGCAATACTAAAATTATCATTAAATCAAAAGTTGTAGATACATTATGTCAAGTCAAATGATCATATTTTTTACTCCATCACATCATCAAAATTAACTATTCCCCCCTTTTTGTCACAAAATGACAAGGGATAACGTAGAAGTAAAAATTAACATTAACATAGAGTAACTCAAAAAATTGTTGCGACCATGCACAAAGATAAGCAATGAACAGTAAACCTTCCCACATACTTATTTCAAGTTATCATGAAGTAAATTGTATAAGGGACTCATATGTGTAAAGTGTCACTAATTCGTTGAAAATAGGACTTGCCTTAAATTTGTGAGAAATGACACTCTAAACATCCTGTCAATAAGTTTATTCCCCTACTTACGAAAGTCAAACAATTTAAGGCACATTAGAACCTATAACATAAAGCTCATGATGAATGGAAGTACTTTCTCTCCTCTTGAGTATGAGCAAAATGTGTTATATCATATCATTCAATAAACGAAGCTCATTATTATTTTTTCCATCTGAAATACAAGCTTTCTTCATTAAGCGACTACAATGACCCATGTAGTGAGCTTTAGGCCGATTAACCCAAGTCAGTTGAAAATAGGCACCAGGTTATGAGAAACCCTGCAAGTTTAATTGCTCAAATCAAATAGGTTCCGAAGAAAATATAAGATATTGAGATTTTTTTTTAATACCAGGGATAAACTTGAGCTTAGGTCTAATACATACGGTCAATTCATGTTCAAAGTTACCTTACTAACATGTGATTGCCATCTCAAATCTCACACACGCGGTAGAGTCCTACTAATAATATCATAGTGTGTCCAGTGCAGATGGTACATGAAGACCCCCTATACTAAGTACTCCATGAAAAACCTAAGCCATGAATGGATGTCACAGCTTATCGATTATCCCCATGCTTGATAATAACAAACAAATTCAAGTAAATCAAATGTTAAGCTGTAAAAGCAACTTCCACATTTGTATGTTTCAATGTTTCATTTTTTTTCATTTTTTGTTTTAGTGTAATTTAAAACGAGAATGCACGAAATACAAAAAAAATGACAACACACACAAAAAAAATAAAAAACAAATATGAGGTATGCATAAAACAATGTCACAATGGTAAAGAATGAGCATGCATAAAAAATACATAATCAATGAGGTACACAAACACCAATAGCCATCTGAAGAGATTCAAATCTCAGACCATCTAATGGTTTGATAAATAGGTCAGCTAATTGGTTCTCTATAGAGATGTACTCAAAGGTTACAACACGAGTCTCTACAAGCTCTCAAATAAAATGATATTGTATATCAATATATTTGGTTCGAGA